CCCCCTGTTATAAATGGTGCTCAATTTGTGTTGAATTTGGGCTGGGTTGGAATTGCTGTTTTGGGGTGATTTGATGGGTGTTTGTTGTGGGTCCTGGGGAGGGGAGGTCCAGGGTTTGGTGGGGGTGATAATTGAAGGGAAATGGGAGGTGATTGGACAGGTGACTTGACCAATCATTCGATTCCCCAAGAAAATGATTGGTCCAAAATGAATATCAATAAGGACCAATGAGAGCACCGGAAAACGACCAATCAACACACGGATCCTTCTGAGGGACCTACTTTTGGGGGAGAACCCAGCGTGTTTGGGGCACGTTGTTATCTTTGGGTTGTTGCATGGGAGTTTGGGCTTATGTCAAACTCCTGTCCTCTGTAGTTTGTTTGTTTGTTTTAATAAACAAGAGCCTTTTTCCTTCTCAAAATCTGGCCTCGTTCAAATTTATAACATCTTTTGGGGACTCGTCAGGGATACCTCATGCCCCAAACTGGTCCGGGGTTCTTCAGGACCTGGGAGATATGTCCAGCCAACTTTTTTGGCTGCCAGAGATTGAACTACGTCGGACTGCGGAAGGGATTGCTGCCTATACCCAAGGCTGCAGAGGACACAACAATCCAAAAAGGTGAGAGCCCTCCGAGAGGTAGTGGGGGTCACACTGCCTCTGAGCGGGCAGGTGGGGTTTAAGGTGCGAGGGGGTGCGAAGTGAATGTGTGTGATTGAGGCAGGGCTGCAAGCGCAGACTCCCGAAGCAAGTGTGTGGGGGAAGCGAGTGTTGCAGTCGTCGAGTGCGTGTACCTCCAGGGACACCTAGAGTAGGGGAGATGAGGAGTACCCTCCTCTAGCCACCCTTGTCTGCTCAGGCTCCCATTCCTCCAGTGAGTGGAGGCTCCAAGGGGTGATCTGGGCCCTTGGCCCTGAGAGGAGGGTGTTAGTGGGCTGGACTGCCCAGAGTAAGGGGCAAAAGCTCTGACCACTAGCCCAAATCACCTGGAGGGTTGTTCTGCAGAGACAGAGCAGGGGAGTCTAGTCTCTGAGGAACTAGGACCTCAGGGGCGGGAGAAAAACTCCTATACAGAGACTGCCAGACAAAGTAGCCACTGTATAGGGGAGTGCCCCTTTCTGAGACAGGGGAAGGGGAGGGTGCCCAACCTAAGCGAGTAAGGGAGCCCTCGAGCTAGGATCCCATTGGGGGAGTTGCAGAGGGGGACAGACTCAGGACCCTGAGCTGGGATTCCATCAGGGGGTCATAGGGGTAACTGAGGGGCCTAAACTTCACAGGTGCAGTGACCCTCAGGGGGCAGGTGGGCCGCCAACTATGGAAGGGCCCTTTCAGCCACTAGGGCTGAAGGGGATGTTAGAACCTGTCTAATCTAGGAAAAAATTCAAGAGGCAGAGCCTCTCCGGTGGAAGCCCTTTGTACATGAGTTGTCAAAATCTCTGCAGAGTGAGGTTTGGAGGTGAGGACAAGCTGAAAGTCCTCCGACTGCTGCTCAGGGAGAGCAAGTATAAAACCCCGCTGTGGCCATTTTGTATTTGGTTGAGCGGTGGTTCGTTTCACTGTTGCCATTTTGTCTTTTGTTGAGCAAGTGGCTCGCTGTGGTCATTTGGTATTCTGGTGAGCAGGTGGTTTGTTTCAGAGTGGCCACTTTGTCTTCTGTTGAGTAAGTGGCTCACTGTATCTATTTTATATTTGGTTGAGTAACTGGTTGTAAGTTGCTTCATTTCTTGTAATAGTCAGCTAAGACAATAGCTATTACATTTCTTTTTGGAATTAATTTGGACATTTCACTATTCTTAGGTTATAAATGTTCATTTCAATTGACATTTTTATTCCGAAACCCTTGTTAAACCGCCATATTTATTTTGTTTCCCATACTAAATATTTCTTTGAGTCACCATTTCTTTGTTTTGTTTCCCACCAAAGCCACCACATTTATTTCGTTTCCCATGTCAAACATTTCTTTAAAAGTTGCCATCTTTGTCTTGTCTCTCACGATAAGGAACTTTTTAAAGTAACCGTTATTAATACATTTTCCACAATAATTAATATTTATTTTCTCTTTCTCATTAATAACTAATACTGATCACTTATTTAAAAAATAAAATAAATAAATAAATTCAAATAAATAATTAACAAAATAATATTTTTTTAAAAAAATTATAATTGGCTACCAATTGCTAGTTAAAGATGGGACACTGTGCTGGAAAAAGTGCCAGCAGGAAGAGAAAAGGGAAGGAAGTTTTTAAGTAAATATGTCCTAGTAGTCCTTTAAGTGAACTTTTAATAAATTAGGACACTAATGAGGGAATGAAGGATCTAGATAAAATAAAAATGATGAGATACTGTACAGAAATATGGCCTAAAGAGAGTATTGGTGAAGGACCTGTCCTGGTACGGGGCAAAAGAAAGATGGCTATGTACAGCTTTAAACAGATATGTCAATATCTGGGTAGAACCTTGCGAGGAAGAGATTAGTTATGCTAAATGTTGGTTAGAAAGGGAGAAACAGGAAGAGGAAATAAAAGGATATAAAGTATCCAGAGAAGAAGAAAAAGAAGAAACTAAGCTACCAGAAAGGAGGTGGGATCCTTTAGACCATCTTCCTCTGCCTCCCCCTCCTGATCCCTTAGATGACACTCAGAGTATCCATCCATCCCCCTTAGATGACCTCCCGTTACCTCCTCCTCCGTCTCCTCCTACAGACCACCTTCCTCCTCCCCCTCCAACCTTGTACCCCTCAGTACCATCTCACGAGGTGGATGCAATTTCAGTATCTACTCCCACAGGAGTTTTAAAATCACCTCAACCTTTTAATTCAAGTTGTCCTGCTCCCAGCATTCCCTCTTCTGTATCATGTCCTTTCCCAAATATTCCAGAACCTGCCCATTCTAGTACTCCTTCAGTTTTGCAGATTCCCTCCAGTTCCTCAAGTACCCAGACACCGGTCTCTAGTACCACTCAGAGTGTCCATACCCCAGTCTTGGCTCCCAAAACTTTCCAAAATACCCCTCTTTATTTTTCCTCCATATTTCAACCCACAACCCAAAGTACCTCTTCCTCTCTTCTTATTTCTGGAACATAACAAAACATTCCTTTTTATTTATCCCCCATACCCCAACATACTGAGAGTCAAAAGCAGGAGGAAAGTTTGTGAACAAAAGGTCAGGGAGTGAAAAGGGCCTGTTGTTGTAAAGATATAGAGGAAAAGAAGTTAATTGAACCAGATAAGCACGTAGCAATTCATCAATATAATACAAGGTTCCAAGCAAAGAAAATTCAAGATGAAGGTGGGAGAATTGAAAAGTTGTTTCCTCTAAGGGAAGTGCCTATGGGGAGGGCCAGAGGTGGTATTGGTTTTGTGAATGCCCCATTCACGGCCTCTGAAGTTAGAAATTTTAAGAAAGAAATTAAACCTTTATTAGAAGATCCCATAGGCATCTCACAGCAACTAGATCAATTTTTAGGACCCAATATTTACACATGGGAAGAATTAAATTCAATTTTAGAAATACTCTTTTCCTCAGAGGAAATACAAATGATTCGTGCAGCAGGCATGAAAATTTGGGAGAGGGAGAATTGAGATGGTCCCAGAGGGGAAGAGAAGATGCCTCTCAATCCACCCAACTGAGACCCGAATCACGAGGAGGGAAGAGCAAGTATGAGACAATACAGAACCCTAATTATAAGAGGCATCAGAGAAGCTGTCCCTAGAACAAATAACACTAAAACCGGCATTTGATAGCCATCAGGAACGGGATGAGTCACCTAGTGTCTGGTTAGACAGATTTAAAAGAAATTTTGAATTGTATTCTAGTGTTGATCCGGACAGTCCAGAAGGACAAGTCCTAGTCAAAA